CCCATCTTCATTTTGCACTCGAGTCCTGACGAGGTGGTGAGATGTAATACAGATTGCTTTCACTTGCTCCAGGGCCTCATGTCACAAAGATGAGATGCTTTGGAACATGGCAAGACAAGGGGTAAGGAATTTGGGGGCATTGTGGTGTTCCAAGTAAATAGATGGCACTGGTCAGCAGATGAGTCACTCTGTAACGCCCCAGGTTCTCTTTGTATAGGACAGTCTCAGTGAGGGAGTCTCAGAAATCGTGATGAACCTTGCAAAGGCCTTGTACGAGAGAAGTGCCTTGTCACAGTGGTGGCCTACCAGCTTCAGCATTCCTCTCTGTACTATGCTCTTGTGCAATATTCAGCCCTGCTGGTTTGCGCAGTGTTGGCTGCTCTAATGAGTCTCCTGACTGAATCCCAATGCATACACCAGATCAAAAGAGCTTTCCATGGATTTTACACTGTTTATTTTGCTGCCTTCAGTGCCTGTGCTGCAGTCTTAGGCGCTTTGTGAATGGATAACCACCACATAATGTTTGGAGTCTCTGCATGCAATACTTGAGGAAAGGTGGTCCAGCATGTCTGTCAGTGTCACATGGAGCTCTCTGGCTTTGCCTTGGTACAGAGGCCAGGACAGTATCTTCCTTACTCCCTCTTTATCTTGGAAATGTTCCCTAAATGACTCCACATTCTGGTGGTTCCTTGAGAGTGGTGCCACACCGCTTTCAGACCGTATGACATCACATGGCAGTTCAACTTTGTTCCTTAGCGCCGCTGCAGGACAGCAGTCTGTACTTTCATATCAGGGCTTGTGGAGGTCACTAACCACACCCTGCAATTTCAGAGACAGCGCTTCTGTTACCAGAGCACTTAGCTCTATTTCTTCACGCTGTTTTTTTTTTTCATGTTTATGGCAGATTACTACCTGCCTCTCTGAAATAAAATACAAGTTCTGTAACCTCCTACTCACACGTTCAGTGTTTCTGGAGACCTAAAGCTGCATGACCAATGCATGCATCTGCTGGTCTGATGCAAAAGGCGGAACTTGGCTGTTTTGTTAAAATCACAAATGACCCGTCAACACTGAGCTCTCCCTTTCAGTCTCTCCAAGTTACAGGAAAATTGGTGTGGGTTGCTAATAAGGCTTCTGCCACCACTCCAGCTAACTTTGTCTGCAACGCCAGTCAAGACAGTGACCAATTTTGCAATTTCAAGATGGAAGTGATAGTGTAGTGGTACCTAGTAGTGCTGAATTCCATTTTAGCCTTCTGGAATGGGACATTTTGATCTCTTCTGGAAAAAAAAGAAAAGAAAAAAAAAAAAGATCTTTGATTACCATTTGACAAAATGATTTGACTGACACGTGGAGCTGCGGAGCAAAAATACTGCAGCCATTCTCCTTTGCCAGATGACTAATAAGGTGGAAGGAAGAGTGCTCATTAGAATGTTGAACAAATAGTTGCAGCAACATATACTGTAGAAAAATAATTTACAACCACTGTAGATGTCTTCCAACACCACTGTGTGGGCAATTTTAATAGAAGAAATGGAGGCAAATGCAAGCAGCTACTGCTGGAGGCGAGAAAGGTGATGGTTACTTAAAAATGCCATTGACTGACCTCACTTCGCAGAGACTCCTCGTAGATCATTAAATGGATCATGTCATAAATCATTTGCCCATCCCAATCCTTTGTTCTGACAGTGTTCTTCCACAGTGCTACGAGTCATCTGATTTGTCAGACAGTAGGATGGTGTCAAAGTTCTGTTCCATGTCTCATTTTGTGCCCCAAGGCTGAGAAAAAGGATTTAGCTGCAGCAGTGAAGAGCAGATAGAACTATGGCAATTGCCTGGTACATTTGCCTTCAAAATAGTTATATAACATTACTTTGACTTGTTGCATAAATCCACAGGACTGATATTAAAATGGAACCAATTGTGCCAAATTTCACGAGCCCTTCAAATGAATCCTCACACTCCATCGTGACTAATGCCTTCTAAGGTTCTGAGAACATGACAGTGGCTTGCACGTTCTGCTCTGGTTGAGAAACAAAGAATCTCCATTCATAGAGAAATCTTTCAAGTAACTTCATATAAATCAATCACAACTGCACAGTCAGTTTTCTTCATCTCGTCAGGTTTTAATTAAGAAGTTACGTCAACAAGCGATGACAGACTTGAGCAGCATAGCCTTCTTCAGAATGTGCAGATTCATCTGAAGGTGAGAACACAGAACAAATCTCCGTGCTGCCCACAGAATATGAGCAGAAAATGACCTGCAACACAGAAGAAAGAGCACTGAAAGACAGATTTAAAGAAGAATTCTCTCTGACCATTAATTCGTTGGCCTAAATGTAGCTGCAGAATAAATGAGGCAACTGTATGTTGCAACACTTGGCTGCATGACATCAGCATTCATGTAATGGTGATTATAGCTTATAAGGAGTGAGGGAAAGATGGTCCTTGTTTTCTTTCCATGTATTCTCCTGTACATTTTATTGGCTTAGTTTTGAATTGAGGAGCATATTAGAGGATGGAAATCCTTGTTACAAAGCTATCCAGCACTGACTATATCCTTCTCTTTGCACTGTATCCTCCTGGTGGATTTAACTAATGTGTGAAAAGTACTGACACATACCCTGACCAGATTCCAACAGATTTCCAGGCAAGTCTTGTGAAAACCCAGAACTGACAATCCAATATGAGGAGAAAGGAAAACAAGGCAATATGATTTAGAGGTTCAACCATTTCAGGCCTCCTTTCAACACCATAGAGAGGGAGAGATAATGGACAACTCCATTTAAAATAATTTCTTTCAAGACAGATAACCTTAAAAATAAAGAAGAGAAACCAACAGATATGGGGGTTGTGAAATCTTCTGTCCATAGACTTGTAACTCATTTAGTTTTCTGCTTGCTCAGGAATTACAGATTAAGGAACTTAGATCAGATTCACAAGAAAAGTAGAGGACTTTGGGGACTTTTTTATCTTTGACCACAAACATGAAGGGCTTACATTTTTATCTTTCAGTTAGTTAGCTCAGGATTACCTAAGATATAGGGACTTACTGAGGATTTGTAGAAGTCTTTTCAAAGTGCTTTTGTTTCTACATTATCAAGCAGTTTAGGCTGGCAACTTCAGGATTCCTCACTGACTTTGTTTTTGTTTGGTTTATTTAAAGATGTGTTTCATATAACATGAGCGTTATAACTTTTTCTTTCCATTAATAATTGAATGTCTTAAGTAAATGCCATGATTTAATCTATTTTTATCCTTCCATAGCAATGTCTGTCGATAAAGTAACTGAAAGAGAATGGGAAAAAAACTAAAAATCTGTTTTCTCAGTCTTAATCTATTCCAGCACATTGCAAAGCTTTTGCTTTCTCACATTTTGTGATATTTCACCTGCATTATCCTGAGTTAGGCCTCAGTTCTGCACAGGTATCCAGCCATACTGACTGCTGCAGTTAAGCAGCATTTTGTTCTCTCAGTCTCATTCTCTGAGGATTCTGAGGACATAAAGAAGATGACAGCTTTAAAATTTAACTTGCTGCCTATTCTTTCATCATGAGAAGCTGCTTTAAGACTATGCAAGTTTCAATCAGTGACTGATGCTTAGTGCACCAAATAAATGCTCTGGATAGATATGAGCCCATATTTTGCTTATGATATTTGGGAAATATTATCTCACTGTAGAAAAGTCAGAGAACAATATTATGCAGGCAGGCAGGATTTCTGGGAAAATAAAAGAAAGTCTAAAAAAGAATAAAGAGGATAGGAAAGGTAAAAGATGAAAGCAGTGCTGGAGAATTTACCATGTAGTTAGCAGCTTCATAATGATCAGTAATAACCTGCACTTCTCAGAGGCAGGCAGCATAACCACAAGATAATTTACAGGAAAAAAATCAATAACTGCACATCAAGAAACTCACATGCTTACTGATAACTACATCGTCATGGACAAGCAATTTATTTGTACAAAGAAGACAAAAATATTTCCCTCCTCTCAGTAAATATTTTTGCCCCTTTTAAAATGGTCAGTAACTTTCTAGACAGAAAAGTATGTTATCATACCTGCCATACACTCTTCTTCTGAGGTTTGCATTGTTGGGTAAAAAAATATATGAAACACTTTGGCTTCAGCTTTATCTTCCAGACTTTTATGTACCTTCTCTCAATACAAGCAAAGGGCAGTATTGTGTTTGAGATGCATCACCTGGGTCCAAAATGGAGGGGAGTAATCTGTATTTATCCCACACCTCCTCTGACAGAGCGCTGAAGGGTTTGTTTTCAAAAGCAGTTTCTGATTTTGTTGTGCTTGATGCATGTGCCCAGTTCGATCAGCCTGGGGTCACATATTTAATGCCCCCAGCTCCAGCTGAGGTCCATGAGATCTACAGTTCTTCCTACACACAAGTCAAGGTGAGGATGCTCTAAGAGCAATCAGGAATGTCATTTCCCCAAGTCAGAAGCCATGTTTGAAAGTCAAGGTTTTACTCTGTGATTATTAAAAATATTTAATTTAGGTGCCTTGAGACTTAACTGGCTGTAAGAAGCCTAGGGCTCCTGTGGGCCAAGTGAGAAGCTTAAAGGCTGGCAGTGTGAATTTGTAATCTCTGTAGAACAGGATATCATCTCAGCACACAAATCCACCCAGAGGTTGAACCCTGGTGTGCTTTGGAAGTGCTCATGTTTACACTGAAATAAATATATAGAAAAAGCAGAAATGGGCTTTGCTGATCCTTTGATTATGGAAGCAACATATGCAGAGTGTTATGTGAGAAATTTCCCCACAGAAAATTTCATTGACTAGATACCTATCTAAACAGACCCAGAAGTAATGGCTTCATGATGTGAATAAGGAGCCAAGCAGAAGATTAATGTACCAATATTAGGAACTTGATTTTTGTTCTTTTTAGATTAGTTCCATCCAAGAGCATTTCTCTTGAAACTGATGAATTTGCCATCATTAAATTCTTTCAGTGGAAATAAAATCAGACTCTCTAAGAGAGAATAGTCTTCTCCGTTTCCGATGCAAGTACGTGGGCAATAGATATTGAGGGTTAGGAAGAGCTTAAGTTCAGTTTAATCCTTTTATTGAGTTATTACATGTTACAGTGAGCTTGATGTCATTGTGGGATATCATCCAAGACTAATAATAATCATGATACTATCACATGAAGCTTGGCTTTTATCCTTATTGCAGCCAAGTGCAGCAGCCAGGAGGAGAGTGAAGAGAGAGGAGACTTTCATAGCTTTCTTCCTGTTCACGTTGTGCAGAGACATTCATAGAGAAGTTGGTCTTCTGCAACAAAGAGATGCTTTGGTTGAGAGTCAAAGAAAAAAAAATGGTGACACTGGTGCTATAACTCTCTCAGATCTCCTCCTGATGTGGGATCTACAAAGGTTATCATGGACCGCGGAATAATTTCAAAGGGTTTTGTTATTTTTGTTACTGCTATAACCCGGGCTCAGTAGAGTAAGCCTTCTGAATAGAGGAGGATTCCTCTAGCCTTAAGCTATTCATTCTAGTTGTGAAAACAGAAGAGAATGTGACCTACCGATATCTCCCTTCTAGAGAATCGTGAAGTCTCTTGCAGCATCTAAAGAAAATCAGCTGCCTGTGGGGATAAAAAGATTACAGATGAATTTACCACTGATAAGCCCCAGCTTTCGTTTTTTAAAATGGTGTATAATTCCCAGCAGATGGTCTTTACGTTCTCTAAGTCAAACATCATCTGAAGCTCTGGCTAGGCAAGATTTGGGTGCTTCAAAGCATAAATGTACAGACTCAAAACTCAGTCCATAGGGAAACAAAGCCCACCCTCAGGCCACTATTCCCTGGGAGCCCTGCCTTCCAATCAGCTAATTCAGATCTACTTGTGGGTGATGCTGAGTACACCTAAAGCCCCAGGTAACACACAGGAGCTAAGATCAAGCTTTTCAAACACTGATCACAAAAAGATTGCAAGCAAAGTCAGGCTGCATTACAGTGCAGTGCAGTGTGCCCTCTTCAAAATGTTAATCCCTTCACCTACCCCTGACCAGATCTCTCTCATCAATTGGTTTCCTCATTACACAGCCTGCAAGCAGATCATCTTCTTGTCTTGAATGGTAAGACTGATGCAGAAAAGGTTTTCTGCTGCTGGTTCCAGTCTGAGCAGCTCCTTTTTGGAATCGCTTCTGAAAATGTATTCACAGCTTCAAGACTACACCTGCTCAGGAGATGCCTGTGGCAGTCAGTAGGGAATGTGACTAATTAAATAGGAACAGATTTTAAAAGATTGCTTCACCCAAGAAGCGAAAGCTAATAATTATATGGAACAAGATGATTACCTGGAACAAGATGATAAAACTGCTAATGTTCCTGTTTATAATATGACTGTGAAACTTCTCTGTTAAAACTGGGCTGCAGTGCATTACAATTTACTGTCCGATAATACAAAAAGTAATGCTGCCAGTATTCTTTCAGAATCATACTTTTCTTCAAATGAAATCCCACATGGAACTGCCCCGTCCAAGTAACTCCTACACCTTTTTGGATGATTATCTTCACCTGGGAAGGAAGAAGGCTTTGGCACAGATCTGCTTTTGCTTCATGTGTCAGATGTATCTGAGAGCTTCGATAGATGTTGAAGAATTGGTCCCTTCTTCCCGGGAGGAAAAGGAGTAACATCTGTGTGAGATGGCAGGCCATGGTAATGGGCAGATCTGTGCTTCTGTGAGTTTGAAAGGAGGGCACAGCGCTGTGTGCACACCTTCTAAAACTGCCAGAGCTCTTTTGTTCCCTGTCAGCTGGGGCTGTGATTGCAGGGTGTGCCTGCTCCACGCACACAGCCATTACACAAGCAAATACAGCAGTTAAAATGTTGATATTTCATCTGTCGCTGCAGAGCTGATTCCTCTGACCTCTCTGTGGCAATGTCCCAAGTGCTGTGCAGGTTCAACCCTGCTCTCCACCCAGCCTTTGTGCTTTTTTATTGATATTCACATTTCTCTTATTTTTCTATATTTCTTTTAAAGAAGCCTGAGTTTCTGGAGAAATAAATAGCAGGTTGCAGAAGGTGCCAATGTGTCGTACCACGAGTACAGTTCAGTGCAAGTGCTGTCTAGACTCAACCACTATTTTACAGATGGCCCTCTACAGCACATTAAATTGCTGGTTGTCTCAAAACAAACTCTTCCTCCTGCTTTAGTCTCCCACATCTTCTCAGAAGCAATTTATAATGACCTTTGCAGGTTTGCTTCAAAAATGTGAGTTCTTGTTGGCATCTGAAGGCCAATGTGGCCTCGATGCTGTACTCCACACCCATGTGAAACTCCCAACCTGAACCTCAGCAGCTGGGGTCAGCATCACCAGGGCTGCCACACACCACCCAGGCCTTTGGAATTGCTTTGATTCTTTCAGTTCCTGTGAGACAGTTCACATCCATAGAACTGTATATGACTTGAAAAGGCTTGTTGGATCAGGACTTAATTTTACCTGAGACAGGCTGGGACATTCCTAGATGGCCTGCAGTGTGTTTATTGGGCTGAGCGAGCTATTTCAATTTTCAAAAGCTTCTATAAGTAACGGGTCCACCTTAATTGTTGCTTGTTTTTAACCATTTGTCCAACACCTCCAGCCAATTGGCAGGATTAATAGGTTAGCGATGCTATATTAATTAAAATCATGAAATTGCTCTGAAGGAAGGAAGAGCTAATTAACTACGGAGCATTTATACACTAACCAAGAGAGAACCCAAGGGAAAAAGTCTCCAGTATAATTAAAAGCGAAGACATTTTTCTTCACTCTACTGTCTCCCCATTGTCACAGTCACTAATGACTTTTGTGTGGCTTTCTGAAAGGTTTTCTGATCTGTGCATAAAAATACCTAGAGGTAATTTGTATTGTTTTTTTCTTTCTCTTTTCTTTTCTTTTCTTTTCTTTTCTTTTCTTTTCTTTTCTTTTCTTTTCTTTTCTTTTCTTTTCTTTTCTTTTCTTTTTTTCCTGGCAATACTTTTGATGCAAGAAGTAAACTTTCCACTTTCCTTTGCTATTCTGAAATTCTGGTGAAGCAGCTTCTTTCTTACATGCAGGTTAAGGCCCAAACCCAGCCGTCAGCAATACTGGCATGGCACAGTACAAGAATGGGGCATGCCACAGCAACCCTTTCCATGGTGCACTTTCCCTTCCTACTGTACATCCCACACTTTTCCTCTGAATGATAGCTGAGATCACTGCCCTCTGAGTAAAGAATTTCCTCCTAACATCTAATCTACATCTCCCCTCTTTTAGTTTAGGCCATTCCCCCTTGTGCTATCACTATCAGACCACATAAAAAGTCAGTCCCCTTCCTGCTTGTAAGTTCCTTTCAAGCACTGGAATGTTGCAGTGAGGTCTCCCCAGAGCCTTCTCTTTCTCTCCTCTCTGTCTTTCTGAGGAGAGATTACACCAAGCACTCCAATCTCTGGATGAATAATCTCGTTATTTTCCTGAGAAAACATTTTGCCACACTTATGCAGCCAAGCCTTGCCCAGACATGTTTTCAGTAGATGGGAGCTGATAACACGTGGAGGAGGGTGTGGGATGGCCCTTCTCTGTGCAGCCTCTCGACATTAATCACTGCATCCATGACAAAAAGTGTTGATGGAATAGGTTTAGACAGGCTTTTGGGTTAGAACAAACCCAATGTGGCACCGGCTCAACCAGCACTAGTTTTCCTGCTGGTGGTTGCCTGCTGTGACGCAATGGAAAGCTGCGTTCTGGTGCCGTTAGCTCCTGATGCCTGCCTGATGCAGGAGGGTAAGACAGGCAGGGCAGCCCCCAGCCACACACACCTCCCTGGGATGGGACAGTAGGAAGACTGAGATTGCTGTTGTTGGACATAGCCTTCCTCACAAAAAAGCTTTTGACTTGGAGAGCTTCACATCTTTTTGCGTCTCATGCTTTGAAATCTATTAGGAGGAAAGCAGTTGGTGCAGACAAGTACCTTTTTTTTGTTTGGTGAATTTCTCTTCAGGTATCGCCACAGCGTAAATAATTGAAAGCTTGCTATTTCCTCACTCCTGCTGGAACTGCTGAAAGAAAAATATTGGCAGCAAATCAAAACTGTCACTGATTACAAATATCCTAAAGAGAGGGATTCACATACCACTGTTGTAGCTGCGAGGACTGGTATAGTACTTGGAAGCTGCTGGAGCAGATGGAGCAGCAGGTTTGGAACAGAAGAGTAAGTGCAAGTGTCCCCAGCTACCACCAGATTCTGCTCCCCACCACTCAGGATCCCCCAAGCTTTTTGCTCCCCTTCCTCTCCTTACATTATTCCCAGCCATGCAGGTAACCTGGAATATGGCTCTCTTAGCACTGGACAGGCTAAAGGCTCTTTTTCCTGGTAAAAGGACTTCAGTCCTTTTTGGAGAAACTTGCTGTTCTCTGAGTCAAGAAACCCCAAATCACCTTTGTTCCAGGCCTGATGTACTCACCAACTTTCCTTGGGATCTGATGATTTTTGTCTGAGGATGGAGCATTGCAGTCTTGCATTTACCATTTCTCCTGGCCTTCAGCCCAATTGGCAGATCGTCTACAGCATCCTGGCAAGAGCAATGGACTAGGCTTGGAACTGGCACCAATTTTGCTTGGTTGGGTCAGAGAGGTAGCCCATTTGCTGCAGTATCTAAAGCATGAGCTTAGCAAGGATCCATGCAAAATGAAGAAATAACCCACAGCTCACTGGGATGAGCTGTCTTGACACAAAGCTCACAAGAAATTGCTCTGCACCCTGACAAGAGGAAGGCAGCTCTTGGAAATACCTCTGCAGTGTTAATCTGCAGGGTTCCAAGCTCAAACGTAAGAACTTAGACAAATCCTTTGATTATATTTTCTTAAATAGTAAAATTAATTCTTAAAAGTAAATTAATTTATTGGAGTACTTACAAAATGTGTAGAAATCCACTGAAAGCAAGCCAGGGGCTAGCACAGCTCACATGGGCCTTTGGTGTTGGAAGTGAAACAGACTGCGCTCAGCTGTGAGCAGTACAAACCCCACTGCTTGTTCTCTTTCTTCACAAGTTGCCTCCTGGGCTTCTCCAGCTTGTCAAGTCCACTGCAGTTGCATACTTAACAGCTGTACCTGAAGCATGATAATTTAAACACTCAAGCTGGCAAGTATCTATGCAAAAAGCTCTTGCAATATTCACCCAATTCTAGGGTGAAAAATAGCTCAATTTCCTACAGTTGTAACAACAAATTGTATTTGTAGCAAGGTCGTACTATGGGTTACATTAGAAAAACAGAGCAGATTTACCTGGGGGAGGAAAGACAACAAAATATGTACAAATCGTAGCATCTAGAAATTCACTTTATGGTCAATCTAATAAGAATGGCTGCTTTTCTGTATGTATTTCAAGGAAAGATAAGGTAGAAACATATACTGTATTTAATGTTCAGTACAGTTCTGTAAGTATGGGCTAGTACTGGTTTTGAGCCTAAGGAAGCAAGTGGCATTTTCTACTTCTCTCACATTTCTGCAAGATCTGCATGATCCAAGTCTGACTGTATGGCCAGAAAATCACTCAGACTTGTGAGCCAAAAGCTAGCATCCCTGACTTATTGGCACAAAGCACCTTTCCCTGCAGACACTCCACGCTGCTTCATCATTTGGCTCTTATTTTTAGCAGCTTCCAAAACTGATAAAATATATATTGTTACGAACGTTTTGGATGTACATTTTCAAGGCCTCATGACCATGAAGTCATGCTTGTGTGTGTCATTCTTTCCATTAGGGATGAGCCTGAGGTGCCGAGTTTATTTCTGAATCCAGATGGGTATTTGGAGCCTTATTTTTCATCTCGGCACATGATCAGATTCATTTACTGGCTAAAAACACATCAGGATCTGTACTTTTGAGTACTCAGTGAAAAAAAATGCATTCAGCTTTATGTTACTACTGAATTAGGCAATCGTTCTTTCTTCCTGTGCAGAAGACATAAAGTGTGACTGTAATGAGCAATCACGAAAAGCAGAATCCCCACAGTCTTCTGAAGTTTTTAGCCTGTTCCACATCAGCAAAAGTTCAGCACCTTTTCACACTTCCTTATTTTTAGCCTCAGGATGAAGGAGAAAGTTGTCTAGACTGCATCCTTAGAGCCAATTAACTGTTCGGAGGAAATACACAGCAGGGAGAAATACAAAGATTTGGCTGGGATTCCTCTTATGTATTTTCACACCATGTCCTGAAGGATCACTCATTCCTTTGGGCATAGCCCAGGCTGCTATTTTGTGTTACAAAGTCATGCCAAAGTTGGGGTATTTCAATGTGTTGATACTGCCCAAGCTCTGAAGCAAGAATATGCATTTGGGACTTTGTCCTTGAACCAGAAGATGCAGATCCTGAAAACATGAAAATGAATGCATGTAGTATTTCTCTGTATGCTGTACACATGCCAGCTAAGCTCCTTTTGCCCACAGCTCCAGCTGAAGATTTATTACTTGCTGCAGAGTGCTTGTTCCAGCTGCTATTCAGATCAGTCTTCTCCCTGGTTAAGAGCTGGTTAGGAACCCTAGAGAGCACAAAGGTTTTAAAAACACTTTACCAGCAGGCTGAACATTGGTCTTCTGTAAACGTGACAACATGCATCTGTAATAATGGGCAGAATACTACTTACTTACCACCAGTGTCAGAAGCTTAACAAGCAACTTAAAACAGTCTCAAGACCGTCAGAGGGATGTAGCTTATGCTAAAACAGAGGGTAAGCTGTCACAAACATCATACCTCAAACTTTATTACCCTGTAGACATGCTAGGGCAAATAGAGAAGCGTGTGTCCAAATGCTGTGGACACAAACAGCTCTGGGATGGCCCAAAGGGTTTAGCAGAAGAGTGCAATACACCTTTTGCATTCGAGCTTTATTATAGCCCATACTGATACATCAAGTCTACAACTCTTCAGCCTTATAGAAAAAGACATCCGCAACCACAGGCTTTCTGGCAGCACAGAGCTACACCTACAGTCCAAAACATTTCGGGAACCCTCAGGGATGCAGTCACAGCCACAGCTTACTGGCAGCACACAAAAGAAATGTCTGTAGTGTGCAGACTTTCTGGCAACACAGCTGCATCCCCAGAGCCTGGCTTCCTACAAGCAGTGATATACCAATCATACCACATCCCTTAAGGCAGAGAGATGATACAGCAACACCTCACATTGCAGAGGCACACGCCTCTGGAAAGGAAAATACTTTCTTTTTTTTTTTTTTCTTCCAAATATACTGCATAACAGGGGCTCTCTTATTTATGTGCCAACAGTGTTAAAAGCTATCTATGCATGAAGTGACTGCTCAAGTGTTAATAAAATACATTTAAACTACACAGCCTGTGCATTCTGCTGAGTTGTACAAACCACGAGAGCTCTCTGCTGTGGTGGTTTATGTTTCCACCAAGAACCCATAATAATGAAAGCACTGACCCAGCAATCGTCATTGAGAGTGCAGGCCTTCTGATTGCTCAGCTGGCTCTAGTTTCTTTCTCGAGAAGAGACCGTGTAACAAATCTGGTGAGTGGCAGGCTGCATGTAAAGGGTCCTGACTGTTGGTGCTCCTGATGCTCTTCAAGACAAGGAAGACCAAAATTAACGGAGGAGTAATTTAATAATATATAGCACATCCTGATTTGTTATTTAGGATTATAGCTAGCTGGGATTTACTTTAATCTCTGTGAAGGACCAGGTCTGTCTGGAAATGGCAGCCTTTGTGCTGTAGCTGATCTGCTGGCCATCGCATCAATCCAGAGCTTTTCTTATGGCTACTGCCTTCATCTTGAGCTCAAGAACAGTTTCAAATGGGGTCTTGACTTCCAGGCATTCCAGGTGGAGTGCGGGATTTCCACCCTGGCAAAGAAAATTGGGGAATATAAAGGAGCTTTCTGCTGCCCCGTGGCTTCTGGTCTCAGCTGAGAAATCTGGCAGTCTCCAGATTGCTGCCTGAAGCTCGCTCAAAGGAGCTCCTCTAGCAGCACATCTCTCAGGTCTCCCAGAAATGAACAGGGTAGGATATCTCTGCCGCTTTCACACCACCAAATTATAAGAATTCATTACTAATAGCTTGCCAAGTAATAATCCCAAGTCTGTTAAATTTTGTCTATTATAAAGCAGTAATAGATGCTTATTAACATGTAGGATATTCATGCACAAGGGCTCTGAAGAAATCCGGGTTAGGATTTGGAGTTTCTTGCTCAGGCTTGTTTCCAAAAGACATAACTCAGCAAGAATTCCTTCTCTGGAGATCTTCAAAGCCCGCCTGGACACGTTCCTGTGCAACCTGCTCTAAGAAGACCTGCTTGGTTGGACCAGATGGACCCAGAGGTCCTGCCAAGCTCAGCCAGTCTGTTATTTTACATGTGAAGAATGATTCTGCCTTCTTGCTAGCTCATTGCTATAGCCCAGTGGTCACTAGTTGCATTACACGCACCAGTGAGAAGACATTTTGGCAGGATGCCTTTGGGTGAGATTGTGTGGCAGCATGCTCTTAGAGTAGATGGGGGAAGGTGGTTTTGCAGCTGATGCTCTTAAATTGTCTTCAGTGGAATGAAATGGTTGGGAGAAGGTCCCATCTGTATGCAAAGGGGTGCCTAAATGACAGCAAAATTGCCCCACAGAGCTTCCAACATTGGAGATGGATAATTGTGCAGACTTGTGTGGTTACAGATGAAGGGTGTTGCTTCCCTTACGAGCCTGCATAGACATACAAGGCTGGAACCATGACCTAAGCCTTTATTGAATACATGAGACAGGTCTGGAAAAGAGGACTCTGCATGGCTGGTTCTAGCACTGCAGTGTTTATGAGAGGTTATAAAGGTGAAAATCAGGTGAATGAAAGGATACTGCTAAATGTATGGATAAACCTACATGCTGACCCATTCTTTTGGGCCTTCATTACTCCTCATTTTCTGCATGGTGTTTTTGTGATGGCACTGACTTAATTTGTCCTGTGCTAGTGGAGCTGGTAAGCTGCACTGCTCTGCTGCACAGTGAAATGCAGTCAAGAATAATGACAAAAAGAAAATACAGTCCATATCTTTACAGAAAGCTTGTAAAATAAGTTGCCAGCGTAGCTTCTATTTAATGACAGTAAAAATAAAAAAAATACAATAATGATAATAATAAAGTAAGGCTTAAGGCTGGTATCTTGGAGAGGAAATTGAAAATGAAATATTTCCAGTTTGTTGGGTTATGTCTATGTCTTGCTAGGCTATGTCAGGCTCCATTCCTACTTCAAAGTTTACTTTGATCTTTCTTTATTTACATTAGCTTTTGCCACAGTATTCACAAAGAGTTTTCAATGACTGCTCCAAGTCATGTATTGCTCCATGCTAAGACAACTTTTAAGCCTGTATTGTGATGGTGCACATTAGCTGGAATAACAATAACATCCCCAGCAATATGAAGTATTGACCCTATTCCTTTAATGCATGCATATCAGAATTTATACAGTCTCAGTGGTTGTTCCAGATAATTTGGAACAATTTCTAACCAAAACTCTTCAAAGTTCTGTGAAAGTTGCCTTACCAACCCAAACCTCAGCATGGTTTTTCCCAGAGTACGTTCACTCATCATGGTACGTAATCATAGAATCACAGAATGGTTTGGCTTGGAAGGGACCTTTAAGACCACCTTGTTCCGCCCCCCTGCTATAGGCAGGGACACCTCCCTGTAGACCAGGATGCTCACAGCCCCATCCAGCCTGCCCTTGAGCTCCTCCAGGGATTGTCCTGTTGCTACATGTCCTTATAAAAAGTCCCTCCCCAGCTTTCCTATAGGCCCCTTCAGAAGGCTGTTATCAGGTCCCCCTGAAAGTTTCACCAGGCTGAAGAGCCCCAGCTTTCTCAGCCTGCCCCACAGGGGGGATGTTCCAGCCCTTTGCATAAAGGTACATAAGGAGCAAACTCACAGATTGCTTTGCCCGAGAGAGGTACATAACAATTGCACTAAGACAATTGACCAAGACAAGATCAAGCAGGGCACCAAGATAAACGGCAGAAGGTGACTATATCTCAGTTAGACTGGAAGCAAGGAAGCAGAAAATGTGCAGGGTTTTTACCTGCTTTGCCTAGCTATAAGCAACCAGCAAGCTTGAG